CAGTGCAATATAATACAATGCAGTACATTGCAATGCAGTGCAATACAATATGGTGCAGTGCAATATATTGCTGTGCAATACAAAGCAATGCAATGTAATACAATACAGTGCAACACAATGTGGTACAGTGCAATACAATGCAGTGCAATGCAATACATCGCAGTTCAATACAGTGCAATACAATGTAGTGCAATGCAGTGCAATAAAATACAATACAGTGCAATTCAATACAATGCAATACAATACAATGCAGTGCACTGCAATGCAATGCAATACAATATGGTGCAGTGCAATATATTGCAGTGCAATTCAAAACAATGCAGTGTAATACAATGCAGTGCAACACAATGTGGTACAGTGCAATACATTATAATGCAGTGCAATACAATACAATGCAGCGCAATACAATGTAGTACACTGCAGTACAATACAATGCAGTGCAATAAAGTACAATGCAGTGCAATATAATATAATACAGTGCAATACAGTACAATATAATGCAATAGAATACAATGCAGTGCAATACAATACAATGCAGTGCAATACAATAAAATGCAGTACAATACAATACAATGATGTGCTATACAATACAATACAATGCAATGAAATGCAATTCAATGCTATCGCCTATGAATGTACACCTTCTACAGTCAAATAAACACAGATAAAATTGTAATAGTATGTTAGTGTATGGAGTTTGAAGTGGGTGGGGGATACAATTACCAGTCTGCTGATTGATGACTTAATAACTTAGAAAAGATCTCCTAGCTTTTAACAGGTGGCACTTATGTCTACCTTATGTTCTTGATCAATCTCGTCTAAGAATACAGACCCGTATCCTGGATTAACCTGGGGGAGTGGTTTTACCAAGGGGGAGATTTTGCCAAGAGGGGGGAGCTTTTTGACAGTTATGGCAAAAAAATCATGCGAAAAGTGCTAAGAATGGTAAAAAACTGCATGATTTTGAACGAATATTTGGCAAGGGGGAGGAGGGTGAGGCCCCCTGGCTACGGCCATGGAATACATATAGGAACTTTCCTTCTCCCAGAAGAAATGGTATACAGGTATTACATCAATCATTCTGGTATTTTGTATACGAAGGTCTGTAGTTACTTTATTGAAAGATGGCAGTGTACACTGTGTACTACCATTTTGAGGTCAGTTTGACTTTATAATTCTGCGCACTATAATCTGTAATTCTCATAGATATCCTCTCTAGAGGCATCACTGTGATCCAAAATTACAATTTCGCAGGTCAAGTCTGCAGTCTTTCGAAAAAAGTTGAATTCGTTGTGCTACCCTTTCTTGTTGGGCATTTATTAACAGAAAACTATAATTACATTGCGCCAGCATATACAAGCTTCAGCGCGATATTTTGAGTGTGTTAATAAATAAAGTGCGCAGAAATCGATCTTACTAGGCCGCGGTGTGCGATATCACTCATAAACAATTTTTAATTGCGCACTGAATGAATTACAGGGGGCGCGTTGTGCAAAGTGATTAAATAAATAAAGTGCGCAGAAATATATCTGACTGGGCCGCGGTGTGTGATATCACTCCCATGTTAAAACTCCATTGAATTTTAAATTCTCCGGTATATCCCCTTTCGCTTTCCGTAGTATTAAGCGTAATTTTGAAGGCACTATTAAAACTTTAAATTTTGAAATCTGTACTCGTAAAAATGTATTTTTTAAAAACAAATGGAAAATGATTAAAACATAACTCATTATGCATTATTGTAATTAATTGTATTATTGTATTTCTGTATCGTAAAAACCTAAATTGGAATAAACTATATTTGAAAAAGAAAAAAAAATACGCCCTGTGACATTTCATCATGAAAAATGTTTTAATATGTAATAGTATCACGTATCACGTTTTGACCTTTCAAGCGTGATGATGTTTTCGGTGTTTGTCATTGTAGTCCAGCATTGTGTATATTCCTCCGATAATATTATTAGGAAGTAATAAAAGTACATGTAATCTTGGGAATACTTTAGCCAAAAGTAAAAATGATTGATTTGCTATTTTTTAAGATAGCCCTATTGGAGTAGATTAGGCTTGTCGTCATTTGTTACGTGTGGCATCTTAATTTTGAGGTCTTACCCAGACTTCAACATGGCAAATATCTTTTCATATTCTCAAAAACAAAGAAATAATCATAGCTTCGAAAAGACAATCCAAAGACGAACACTTTGGTAAAATATAAGCCATATATATGTTTAGAACAAACAATACAAGGGAATATCAAAGGATGAGATACGTGGAAATCGCGGGATCATGACGTCGTACTGAATATGAATTCTAGCGTAACGGAATCACACATTTGACGAAAAAAACGACATTGTAACGTCAATCTGTCAAACATACAGGGGTTTCTTGATCTTATATGGGATCTTCTAGAAATGGGGTTGTATTGTGTTTCTATAAAAAACATCAATATTAATGTGTGTACAATTGTCGAAATCGCTGTTCCCTCTTCAAAAGAGAAGACGCGAAAATCTTTCCTTATAAGGGCGAAATATTTCCCATGATGCAGTTCGCGGAGGAACAAATTTATACTTCCTTATTTTCCCTCATAGGTTTAACATGGGGATTTTTACACCTATTTTTCAAACGATATATTCGTTCATATTCCTGTACGAGAGTACAGAAAAAATTATTAGAAACGATTGATCTCTCATTAATCTTAATATAACAGCTATTTTTTTCATTGTATTAATTCATAGCGTGGTGAAAACTATGATTGAAAAGTGAGAAAAAATTCCGGAAGAGAAGGTCACGTGATCAGTAGACTAGTCGCCATATTGGAAAAAACAATTCCATTCGACTTTCAATACTTTCATGCCAATCTTACCGCACTAAAAACTGCGACATCGATGCAACAACTGAATAAAAGTATTCATCTTCAAATTACATTATAGAGTTACGTTGAAAACCCACAAACAACTGAGCAGTAGACCAAAGAAGACGCGTCGCTATTATCTAGGTCAATCTGTTCAGTGGTCCGAAAGCAAATCTATAGTACTCGTTTCCGAATTTTGTTGTTCATTGTACAATCTTTTATTGATTAAACTCGGTATACTGACTATTAAAGCAATGACAAAGAAGAATACTTACGATGGTGTCATTGTTTTATTTAGCGTGCGGGTGTACAAACAAAATTGAGTAATTAGTTTGATTTAGAACTTTCGTGTCACGCAAATAGCTACGCGAAATGCCTAGTGGGAAAATATTGACCAATCAAATTTTGTCCTTTTTGAGTGCTTTTTCAGTGCATATTTGCGAACGTTCTGATTCAAAGAGCGAACCGCGAAAAGGAGAATTAGGTTTGGTTAATATCTTATCATACACGAATTCTATATCTGCTTTTGATTGATAATGGCTGACCAGATGTTAAATTAGGGCTATTCAAGTTTAACAATTTAAGAGCGCTGTCATAAAATGCAGAGCAATAGTGCCATTATTATTGGTAAACATGAAATAATCAACAATAGCTTATAGAAAAGCCAGAAGCAGATTTCAACATCTGACCAAGCAATGATATATTAATGTTTCCTTGCGCACCAGACCAACGCGACCACAAATAAAAAAAATAAAATTTTTGTCACCTCTAACGTTTGACTAAATCATCTGTTTTCTACCAGAGTTGCAAGAATATTTCCACAATTTTATATTGCAGCTTTTGATTGAAACAAAATTGCCAAAAAATAAAAAAAACACACATGTTTTTATTTGGTTAAACTTATTACATAGGATTATGTCAAAAATCAATCATTGGAAAGTTTGTTCCATTCAAGTGGTAATTGAGGTGTATTTTACACTTTGTATATACTATGTACACTCACTCATGATCGTGTTTAGGTAAAAGGGAAAAAATATTAATATGTTTACATAAATACAAGAAAACAGAGAAACAAGAATATACAACACGTATAACACACGCAATGAGACCAGTAATAAACTCTGATCGCGACCATCCACAAATCCAAGCTAATGTGTTTCATACTCGTGTTAAGCGTTAAGGTCTAAAAGGGGAATAAGTATTGATATGTGTTGTACAAATACACGAGAAACGAGAATATGCAACTTGTATAGCACACGAGAACACAGTAATAAATTCCAAAATATCCAAACTATTTTTTTCTTGCTTTATTTAGCTCTTTTTTACGTTGTTGTTGTCCTAGCCTGGAGGAAATATATGTAGCAAGCTTACAAGAAAAATGTAGTTTTTATGGCTGGAAACTCAACCCCTGGGGGGTCCACGGTTGTCAAACCCTAGCTCCCGAACTGTGAGAGCTACGACCTCGCCGTTTGCGCCAATCGTCTCGACGTGAAGTGACCCCACCCTGCCGGGCCTTACCCTTGGGAAACGGCTGCAATTCTGTCTAGATCGCCGGAAAACCACGGGCTAAAACTCCCTTCGCCGTGGGTGCCTACCTTTTTCTACACGCCCCAGTGATTTTTTACACGAGCCGATGAACAACGCTGGGATAATTGCCTCATTATATCACCTCATTAAACCCATTGTGCATTCATATTCCCCTTCTTAGTAGTCATAACAGATAAATTTTAAAGTGGTGGTGCCATATTCACTGCAGTATGTACACACATTCATATCTCATGTTACACAAAAAGTACACCAAAGTATAAGGTGCCCCAACAAAGTGGGCCAAAGTATTTTCAAATAACATTTTTATTACCAATATATAGAAAACATATTTGGCAGAACAGTGATTCACAGTAGTAAATGCTTACTAGAACTAAAAGTTAAGGCATTAAAAGATCTTAGTGTTTAGAATTATGAATCATATTTCTGTGAGTATAAGTATGTTGGTGTATATACTGTTATTACTTTGCAGAATAAAACATTCAATATTCTGAAATAGCATGTAGTATAGTCTGGCAGAGTCTTGTGAATCAATCATTTTGTTAAGATTACAATGTAATTATAACAAATGAACAAACACATATATGTATAATGAATAAGTTAACTGTACCTGTAGTGGTTGGTGTTGGTTTCCAGGTTACAGGACCCCCACCACAAGACTCAGGGTCGCCACGTCTGCAAGAAAAATATTACACATCTAATAAATAAAATCTAATATCTTTGTACTATGTACATTACATATCTTTGTTTTATAATGTAAACTAATTGGGTGTTTTTAAGAATCCATAAATTCACACATGTATTTCCTGCAACTTTTACTTTTCTTAGAATAGAACCATTATACATTGTATACAGGGTGTCCAAAAAAACAGGACCGTAACAAAGTTGAATAACTCGGTCAATTTTGCATATTTTGCCTTGAAATTTAAGAATTATTTAGTTCATTCAATGTGAATTTTGTTCTGAAAGTTTGATGATAATCTGTTTATTGTGTCAAAAACTACAGTCCTTTACAAAACATGCTCAAAGTGGGCACTTCTCCTCTCTATGCACAAACGAATCCTGCGAACAAAGTTGTTAATGACCCTTACCTATACACATTAATGTGGATGGTAAATATTGGGGTAGTTATTGCCCTCTTAAGATTGTTAGGGGCCTGTCAGTATACACATTGGCTTTGAGAAATCCTCATAGATAAAAATTTTGAGGATTTAGATCAGGCGAATGAGCTGCCCATATGGTTTGCGTTCTGCAACTGATGAGCTGACCACCAAAGCATTGCCTAAACCATTTCAGCATATCATTTGCAGTGTTGGTGTGGTATTGGATTGTTGAAACCACTGCTTAATTATCTCTTTAGATGTCCCTTCTGGTGCTTAGTGACCTCCAAAACTTGCTGAGAACTTACCGGTCCTTGTTCATGGTGATAGCAAGTCCCCAGTCATCTTCGAACCAAAAGGGACTGATGATTCCATGTTTCCTCATTGCCACCCAGGGAGTGCATTGTTCAGAATGCAATGGATGCTGTAACACTTCATCAGGAGGATGTAAGCCCCAGTAGCAATTGTTCTTGGAACAAACTTGTCCATTCAGAAAGACATGTGTGTAGGAGGATCATCAACAGCTTTGTTCGCCGGATTGAATTGTGCATAGAGATGAGATTTGCACATTTGGGGCATGTTTTGTAAGGAGCTGTAGTTTTTGACTCAATTGGTAGATTATTATCAAACTTTCATGACGAAATTCACATTGAATGAACTAAATAATTCTGAAATTTCAAGGCAAAATATGCAAAATTGACTGAGTTATTTAACTTTCTTACGGTCCTGTTTTTTGGACACCCTGTACAAGGCATTAACATGCAAAATGTCACCACCTTTATTTTTACGGTCACCGATTGCCAAACAACAACTGCCGAACACTAAACTTCAACCTCCAAACGTCATCCACAAAAAGTTGGAGACTATAACAATATGTCACCTTGGACCAGTTTCAATGTTGGACCAGTTTCGATGCCCAGTTTCCAATAAGGTTGAAAAGATGGCAGGAAAAACAGATCAAAAGTGATTTTTTGGCTTACTTTGTTTTAAAAATTAACTAGAAAAACAGTAACTCCACGGAGTAGCAAATCATACCGAAGAAAACATATTATGCTTATTATAGCTAGTGTTAATGTTGAAATGTTTGTGCACTTTGTGATAGAAGCATGAAATTTGGCACAAAGTTAGTTTATACCATTGTGAACTAGGCATCATCATATAAAATTTGAACCAAATCCGTTCACTGGTATATGAGTTATCAAAGATTACATTTTTTACGAAAATTGGCCCCCATCTTGAAATTCAGCCGCCATCTTGAAAATTATTTTTTGAACAGAGCTTCTGTGTCCCTAGACATAATAATATAAAATTTCAACCAAATTTGTTCACTGGTATATGAGTTATCAAAGATTACGTTTCTTACGAATAATTGCCGCCATTTTGAAATTAAGCTGCCAACTTGAAAAAATTTTGTCGAACGTAGCTACTGTGTCCCTAAGCATCATCATATAAAATTTGAACCAAATCCGTCAACTTGTATTTGAGTTATCAACGATTACATTTTTATGAAAAATGGCGGCCATTTTAAAATTGAGCGCCCATATTGAAAATTCCTTCTTGAGCAGAGGTCCTACACTCATAAGGCATAAGCCTATAAAATTTGAACCAAATCCATAAAGCGCTATTGGAGTTATCGCCCAGGACACACAGTCGGACGGACGGCTTCTCTATATCCCCCCGAACTTCGTTCGTGGGATAACCATGTGAAGGATACATTTTGTTCTACAACATAGCATACATAGTTTACACTGTGAAGTCTTCATCGATAAATATATGAAACACAATTCGTATAGTTGGGCAAAAGAATGAATAGGTGGAGCTTTCCTGCAAACATTGATAATAGTCCATTTGTCATTTTCTAAACGTATGAATAGTTAAAAGTATGATGTTTTTCTGCGTAAATACTATCATTAGGGATTATTGGAGTGATTTAGCTGGGTTGCCAAAAAAATAACTTTGGGGAAAAATTTTGTATCTATTCCCATGGTAACATACTAGGTATATGGTGGTATCCCAACGCTAAGTCAATAGTCAACGCCATGTTAAGCTATTGCACCCCTCCCTAATCAGCCTATATAATTTTTTCCCCAAACAAACTTTTTTGGCAACCCAGTTAAATCACTTCAGAAAACCCTTATTATCATAAATCGACCATAAAACATCGTACTTTTAACAATTTCTAGGTTCACTATTGGATGTATAGGGGTGACAAATGGACTATAAGAGTTTCTAAACTGAAATACTGTACATGAAATGATACCTAATAGGATCCACAATCTTGTATACTTTTCCACTTGCACTAGTGCTGCTTGCAAAATCAGTAGTGAGTATATACAGCTCACCTGTAACATTAAAATATTTAATGAGGAGGCAGACTGTACATAATTTATATAATAATATTAATTAATAATAGATCAAAGAACAAAAATAATATACATGTAGATGGTATAGTAAAGAATCTGAATAAACAAACTTACAAAGAGAACTTTAATATTCATGTCAAAGATATTTATATACACTGTATGGTCAATGTGTGGCTTTTAAAGACTTATTTATATTTCTTGCATATTAAACCATTCGAGTGACATTTTGCTTGAGTAAAACTTCCTCACCATCTTGATCCTCCCCAAATGAAAGAATGTTTGGTTCATAGGTTCCTACAAGACCATTAAAGCAGACGTCTGGTCCACACATTGTGACTTCACTGTTATCCCATTGGCCAGTTGTGGGGTCTTCAATCATCTTCCAAATACGGCTGAAACAATCAATAAGTGTTTAACTCAGTGACTGATAAACAAACTTCAATATAGTTTAAGGTTAGCCTTAGACGATTTTAGGTTAGCTTCGGATAATTTTAGGCTTTACATTAAAGGTCCATGTGCAGTATGGCAAGTGATTTTAGACGGTCATATCTTTCATCATGACTACTTTCTGGGTATAAATACAGTGGTTTTTATTAGAACAATATGTTTTCCTTCAAGTGAAGTCCTCATGATGATAAAAATATCAATCGAACAATTCAAAAAATTATAAATAGGGACCCCACTTCAACAATTTTTTCAAAATGTTGAACTTATTTGCTGAAAAGAGCATCTTCTTTTTCTGATTTTTATTGAATGAAAACATTATTCAACAAGGGGCTAAAACATCTTAAAAAGTAGAATGGTATTGAAAGTCTAGTTTTGAAGATATCAATTTTCGATGGCCAAAATCATGCTGAAAACTTTTCCATATGGGAAAATAACATTGGAAATGTGGTTTTTAACTCTATTGCATTTCAATACCCATCCCCAGAAGTTATTAATATAGTGTAGAAGAAACTTTTGATACATTAAAATTGAGAAAATAAGCCTTACATTTTTAAAAAAGTGACAAGGTGGGGTCCTAATCCATAATTTTTCTGAGAGTGGGATTGATTTTTTACTATCATGGGGACATCACTTAAAAGAAAACATATTTTCCACTGTATTTATACCCAGAAAATACTCATGGTGAAAGATATGACTGTCTTAAGTCACTTGCCATACTGCACATGGACCCTTCAAGTAATTTTTACAGAATCATTATGGGAAGTTTGTGGTTGCACTGCCATGTCATAGATAACAAAATAACACTAGGTTTTTCTTAATGAAATATATCTGCTGTGAAATATTAGTTCAAGATTAAATATTTCTTACCCTGTAACAAAATCACCATAGATATACATTCCCTCCAAGTTAGGGTTCTGACAACCTCTATATATGTGACCTCCAGTGACTGATTTTCCCATGGAGTGTGGGTATGCATGGATAGGTAGTACTTCTGGGCTTATAAAATATTAAGGTACACATATACGAGTTAGTTAGTGGTTTTTTATCTAGATTTTGTGGCACTTCAGGAAATAGCATTAATAAATTCACACAAGATTCTTATACTGTTTTAACTACACTGCTACAATATTAAAACTTACCTATTTTCCCACATAGGTCATCTCTAAAACACTCAAATCCTTCTCTAGAGTTCCATCCAAAATTACCACCAGGCTCTATAATGTCTATTTCCTCATAGGCATCTTGTCCCACATCACCACATATGATCCTTCCCTTGTTCACACCTGCAATATACAAAGATATATAATTAAGACCACCAGGCTCTATAATGTCTATTTCCTCATAGGCATCTTGTCCCACATCACCACATATGATCCTTCCCTTGTTCACACCTGCAATATACAAAGGTATATAATTAAGACCACCAGGTTCTATAATGTCTATTTCCTCATAGGCATCTTGTCCCACATCACCACATATGATCCTTCCCTTGTTCACACCTGCAATATACAAAGATATATAATTAAGACCACCAGGCTCTATAATGTCTATTTCCTCATAGGCATCTTGTCCCACATCACCACATATGATCCTTCCCTTGTTCACACCTGCAATATACAAAGGTATATAATTAAGACCACCAGGTTCTATAATGTCTATTTCCTCATAGGCATGTGGCCCCACATCACCACATATGATCCTTCCCTTGTTCACACCTGCAATATACAAAGGTATATAATTAAGACCACCAGTATCTATAATGTCTATTTCCTCATAGGCATCTTGCCCCACATCACCACATATGATCCTTCCCTTGTTCACACCTGCAATATACAAAGGTATATAATTAAGAACACAAGGTTCTATAATGTCTATTTTCTCATACGCATCTTGCCTCACATAACAACATATGATCCTTCCCTTGTTCACACCTGCAATGTCTATTTCCTCATTGGCATCTTGTTCCATATCACCACATATGATCCTTCCCTTGTTTACAATCGCAACATACTCATGTAAGGAATATAGAGGCTCAAGTGTGTATTCAATCAAGTACAAAGGAAAGTGATCAAACTGACATTTGTGATCAATAAATAATATTGATTCCTACATATTGGTAAAATACACAGCAACAGCAAACTTATATCAGAGTAGTCATTCTACCTTTCTTTCATTTCAGTCCATGGATAGAAAATGAGACAAACATGCTTTAGTTCCTGAAAACCTTCTTTCCTTCTTTGAACAGTTCAATGTTAGACACTAGACCCTTTATTCTATATGACATCGAACAGTTTAATGTAAGACAGTAGACCCTTTATACTACATGTATATGAAACTTGAAACCAGATTTCTATCAACAATAGAGACCCAAACAAAAATGAAGTCTAACTTTGTGGTCAGGATAAACTGCAACACAGATAACTATGAGGATGCTTTTCATGTCATGAAGGAGATGATTTTAATAAGTAATAATATGCTAAAAGACTTGAAATGGAAGTGTTCAATCTCAATGCACACACATACATGTATATTACTAGTATACATCTATTTAAAAGTTTTGTCCTCTCATTTCTGATTTATTATTAATAATTCTGGTACAATATCCTAGATGCGAGTAGAAATAATCTTGATTTACGTCATTATTCACAATTCAGTCAAACTGATGTCATATTTGGAATCTACATGTAAAATTACATCGAGAAATGTGGTTTTGAAAAGAGTTTATCAACTTTGAAAATTTAATTTTCTTTAAAAATGTGACTTCTAGGTCGGGGAGATTCCCCATAGACCCCATGTTGTAAAACCACAAAAGTGAAATATCTTTTCTTGTGTTGGGCAGATAATATTTTCTTTTACTGGATATATTTTAATTTGTACAACTATCACATACATAATGGTAATATGATAATATGAAAAGTGAACCACTAAAACTGATGAATATTCAGGTTTAAGTAAATTTTGTAATACCCTGCCATGTTATTTCCCCCGAATCAGTCACCTGGTGGCTACCTACTCGCATCTGAGTAATTCAATGGCAATTGAGATGATTGGACTATGAAAAAATATTAATGTGGATACATTGCTGAGAGCAAGAGCATTAAGAGCAATCAGTGTTACATTACAGTAAGGAGAATACAGACAACAAATACAGACAACACAGTTGTTGGATTTAAACAAATACAGTCTCACAAATTGTGAGACTGCAAACGAAACAATCCCCTTAATCAATGGGACAAATGAGTGAAATATTTTTTTTTTAACTGAATAAATTTTAAGTGGTAGATTTGTTAAATGATCTACTAAATCTATAAATTATTCAAGTTCAGAGGTCTTTTGACTCAAGTTAGCCAACTGGTGGTGAAACTGGTAACTATCCATTGGAACTTAGCTATAATTTACCTGTTAATAGGTTGGTTAACTAAGACTGGTTAACCTGACATTTTATCATAATTTTAAAGCTGAAACGAAAAACATACAATAACAGTTCAAACAAAACTTAATAATTCAATGGTTGATTTTTTGTCGTCAATCACGTGATATACCTTCACTATTTCTCAATGGTGTCATTTCTATGTAAAGGGCCATTAAGCAAATACCTATTTCTAAGAAGGCATTTTTTTATATAACAATCGAGTTTCCTTCCTGCCAGTGATTTAAAGGAATAAGGTAAGTTTTCAGGCACCAGACTGTTGTATCATCTATTATCAGAATAAATAAGATTAATAATTTCTTCACAAAATAAGATAATAATCTTCAAGTAGATAGTAATGTACATTTAAATATCATTAGACATTAAAAGATTGCAAGCAACATTATAGATGCCTTGAAAGCTTTTCTAACTTTGCCAATGACAAAGAAATGTCATATATCAGAAATCTGATGTCCGGTTTAACTACTGGTATAGTCTAATTTGTTGGATTTACACTAGAACATTGAGACGTCTTGGGTAAAACATTTTAGTGTTAAAACGTTTTACAAATGTAATGTAAATCCATATTTCTCAAGAGCTGTCAGCTATGAGTGCTTAGCTCAAACGTTTTAGGACCATAGTCATCGCCAAGACGTCTTAGCATTTAAACTTTTTACAAGCAAGTGTAAATCCATCGGTTTTAGCTAAGAGCTCTTAGCCCGGTTTTATGCGTTACGTTGAACGAAACATTTGAAACTTTCTGTTTCGCATGATCCTTTCTCTTGTCCCATCCCTTGTTCCCAACATGATCTCAAAATATTGAGAACTAATTTGCCTGGCATTCTATCATAATCCTCTTTCCTGCTTTTAACAATACCTGAACAATATTTTTGTGAAACCAATGCATTCTTTAGCACAAAGTATAGAAGCTTGAAAGGAATAGCTATGATAACTGAACCGTCCTTCAACCAGTACTGAACTAGCTAGCTGCTTTTACCTACATTCTAAGACGTTTTAGAAAAACAGATGTAAACTCAAATCATATTTCGTAAGATGTCTCGTAAATGGTGGTGTAAATTTAACATAATTTTTCTAAAACGTTTTGGCCAAGACATCTTGGAATGTCGCGTGTTGTGTAAATAGGGCTGTTGTCTTGGAATCCTGATGACAGGAAATAGCAATGTCAATAAAGGTATCCAAAATATCACCATCAGCATTCAAAAACAGCCTGCACCCAAAAGTGAACCATCTCTAGAACTTGGCACCATCAGGTAATCTAATGTGCGGTGGAATCACAATTACAATATCAAAAATTGAGAAATAAAGGCAACAGACACTATGGGTCTATTTGTCATTCAAAGCAACAATTTTACATTATATTAGACATGCCTCAATTTGAAGTCCCAGACTGACATATTTAGTCAGTCTGTCAGAAAAACACAATGCTAGGGTGTTCAGAACATTCTGAAATAATTTCCAGAAAAAATGGAATTATATTAGATGTATCTTAAAGGTTCAATAAAGACCATAGAAGAAATTTGGGAGTCATTTTACCTTTCCCGAGCTATTAGTGCAATGTTTGGCCTAATATCTTCTTCGCCATACCTATTTTCTTAAAATATATGCATTTGTCGACGAATACCACCAATCAGACTTGCAAATCAACTTCAAAATAAGCAATTGAAAGGATGGACGTCCCGCATTTTGTTTTTTGAAACATTTCTGAATCTCCGCCATTTAAAATTCTTGCTGCAGCTGAGATTAGATAAGACCGCATATTCATAGTATAACCGCGATGGTCTACTATAACCGTATGCATGGTACAGGATATGACCGCCGTTGACGGTCTATTACTGGCAACTCTTGCAGTTTGCCCGGCCCACTGACGAAGAAAAATCAAAAATAATGAAAGACTAAAATACCCCAAATCTACCCATATTCAAGGTCTTCTTGACACCCGCATGGTATCTAACAAGCATAATGATGGATAGAACGTTTGGGGAAAGCGGGGCTAAAATCTAATGACAATATCACTGGGAAATCATTAAAAGGTACGTGAGCATTTTTTCTGTCCATGATTATTGGTTTCGGGAGAAGATTCCCGGGGATTTAGGACGATAGTGATTCTGAATATCGGCAGAAATTAGATAGGTTCAGGGGTTTTCTTGGTAGCTAATGAAAATAGATGTTATCCTTGATGAAATATCAAAACTTCGATATATTTTGACACCAGGTCTATGATCCTTGGATACGTCTCTGCACTATTTATCCAACCTTTAAGACAAATAAGTAAGATAAGATGAAGATCAGTATGGTGCTTGACTGATCCAACACATTAAAGAACCTGTTTCTTCATTGTCCTTTAAGACTCATTTTCACCACCTTGTACCTATCACTTTGACACATGCTTTAATTACCAATAGTTTGTTACTGACATTCAACTTTAAATCAACGACAGCACTGCAGTGTTAGCTCATTATTTATATGCAGTCAAAACAAGTGCACTCTTCATGAACAAATCTTGCACGATTCATCATGAAAATTCAAGTATTTATTAGATGAATATCAACCAGAGTTAAATGGATGGGGGAGCATCGAATGGATACCCGAAGCTGAGAAGATTTTAACAAAAAATGTTGAAAAAGATAATAGAAATTATCAAACATGTGATACCTCTAGATCTAGGCCTAGAAGATCTAGATGAATCAAACCAGGACCAGATCTTTATGTCTTTTCATTGCGAATTCATCAGAATCATCATATAATTGCATAGTTTAATTTATATTCACACATAGCTAGGAAAGGTGTGTCCAATTCCAGCCAATCAGAGCACGCTATTTCACGTAATTGACTGCTTACATTCGCTGCAGTCAA